GAATTTATTCTGCAAACGTGTTTCCATCTCCTGTTTTGCGCATTAACTACTTTGTGAATCATCCAAAAACCACCTCAAGCGAGCGTAAAAACTTTTTAGCGAACTGAGGATTTTTTTTTTTCAAATTTTTCTGTTTCCATATGATTTTTTTCTCATTTTTAATGCGACACTTCTAAATGTGCATCAAAAATCCTTGATGGAAACACGGTTACTGTGGACCGTTTCAGCTCTGTTACTACCTCACATCAGGAGCTTCAGCCATGGTTGGAGCCCTGATCAGCACATAGCAGCTAGGAGGCCTCTGTGGCCTGGATTATAATCCATCAGGAGGAAACAGCAGGGAGGCCTGAAGCTAACGTGCATGTTTTATCATACAGGTATTGTGTGATTGGTCAGATCTTTGTGGGTGTGTTTGTGTCTGCAGTGAGATGATCTCATGTGAGGCTCAGACACTAACATCTCAGCTTCATCTGTGGTCTCTGCAAAACAGAGCTTCTCTGTTAACAGAACGACCAGATCTGCCTCAAACATGTCCAACCTCAAAACTAATTAACATTTCAATATAACAAATTCACTTAGAATACATTAAAGTAATAAATAAATATATTATGAAACATTTAAGTTTTCCCATCTCTATTATTGCATTTAAAATAGCTGTTATGTTTCTTCATTTTGAGAGGTAAAAACTACAATAAACATGCTACACATTCAAGCTTTTTTAATTATAAATACATAAAAATAAGAGCTTCACTTTATTTATCTGTCCTGCTGGAGTTGGAGCAGCAAACCTGTGTTTTAGAGGTTTATTTGCAGGTTTTTATGATTTATTTTGTGGCAAATGGCAGGATTAACAGTTAAAAATAAAAATGGATTTAGACAGGGTTCCTACAGTTTAAGTTACATTTAAGACTTTAAGACTTTTTAATGCCAAGGGAAATCAAATTTAAGACCAATTTCACAATAAACACAAATTTAAAAATTTTAGACTGTGGCAGAAATTCATGAATCAAAGTATTTTTGATTGAATTATTCAAATATTGCTGATAAACCAATTGTTTTTATCCATATCTAGCTGCTATTTTGTCAAATATAGCAACAACACACAAAAAAAAAAAACATTCTTAGCAGTCAGTTTTAAACTTAATTTAATTTCTGGAAATCCTCTAACGACCCAAAATGTGGAGTTTTAGGACCCAAAGTGGGGTCTCAACCCCAGCTTGCTGTAGATAAAACCTTAAAGTGTCTGTGACATCTAATTTTTATAAGAAATATGAATGTATTTTTGGAAAGACAACATTAAACAGATGTCACGTTGCTCAGATGGACAGGTGTTGAGATATTTGCAGGTGAAATAACAGGAAGTGATGTCAAAAGGGAACATCTGAATGGGAATATTTCAAAAATAAATAAATGTTACTAATTATTTTAATATTTGAGATGAATTCAAATCATCCTACTTACAATGTGTTCACATTTTTAAGACTCCTGAAGATTGATTTAAGACCTTTTAAGGCTAWTTAAGGCTTTATTTTTGGATTAATGAATTCAAGGTCTGTWAAGACTTTTAAAGGATCTGCAGGAACCCTGGCAGATTAGTAAGAAACTAAAACATTTAGCTGAAGAACATTTAACCAGTGAATGAAACTAGCTGAGAGCAGCCCCACATCGATGGCTCACACCTGCACAGATCAGATGAGGAGGACAGGTGAGCGCTCAGCTGATCTGGGAGGACTGACCGTAGGAGGCGTGGCTGCCAAACTTTCCATCTCTTCATGTGTGACCCAAACGTTTCCTGTGGTCTGAGCGTGTCACACCCCCCAATCACAAGAGTGCAAACAGAAAACCAGAGCAAAGGGCAGGAAGAAGAGAAACTCCATTAATGTTAGAAAGACTGRAAATACGAGCTGGATTATTAGTAAAGTGTTAAAAGTGTTAAACATGCTTGGAATGGTTTGTGTTGGGGTGTGTGTGTTAGTGTGTTGTGTAGACAATGAGACAAACTGGTACCGTTCTGGAGGTGGGGGGTGCTGAGGGGCTGGTCAGAGACATGATCTCCTGGATGGCCAGGCGGAGTTTGAGGCGATGCAGAGGGTTGCTGATTCCAATCTCTCTTTGGATCTCTGTGTCGGACAGCGCCGACATGATGGCTCCGCTCTTCACGTTGGCTCGACACGCAGCCACGTACCAGGCGGGCATGCCCACCCACAGCTGAGGACACACAGGACAGGTCAGAGGGCAGCCWCAGCAACACTGGAGTTACCTGACCAACGGGTCGTACCTCTAACCAAGCCACGACCGTCGGTCCATCCCACTGAGCGAAGGGCAGGCCCTGCCTGCGAGCTTCTTCCAGGATTTCATGTCTGTCAGAGAAATGTGTTCAATCAAAGTACATCAATCACATGTCCAACCAGCAACAACCTTCAAACAACCCAACCCTGGAGATACCAAGAGACATGCACACACAGAACCAAGACTTTCAGAAGGAGAGAGAGAGAGAGAAACCAAGAAGAGCTCAGAGTTTCTACAGTCTGACTGTCAAACTACAGTCTGACTGTCAAACTACAGTCTGACTGTCAAACTACAGTCTGTCTGTCAAACTACAGTCTGTCT